ATTCACATCGATACATCGATTTTATCGGAGACAAAAGAAAATATCGACAAATATTCGACACTTGTCTCTCGACGTATCGATATTTCGATATTATCGATTTACCGTTGCATCCCTAATCATCGCTCGATAGCTCGCAACGCTGCCGAAGCATAAAAGTCACACGTGATCCGCACGTCAAAATTTCCCGATAATTGCTCCGTTTCGCGCGATAATAATAATCATCATTATTTTCGCCGACCTTATTGCCGGCTATATTTTCGAGCAGAGCGGGAACGTTTAGGTAATTATTTATGTGTTTTAGCACGCGAAGCTCACATTCGCGGTCATTAGTACGTTCGCCGCGCCGCGCCGCGCCGATGGTAGCTCGCGCGCTCCACTGCGAAACCCTGTAACTCACCCCACCGATCGTGAAAATTCGCGTATCGACATCGACACCACGTCGCAATCCGCAGCCGCCCGTCGCGAGGCTCTTGTTCGCCGCGATGGAATAGCCCGGAAACCAATAGTATCGACTCAATGCGGCCGGGTCGATAGCAGCGTCGACGCAGCGGCGTTGCGAATTTTCAAGCGACCGCCCGCAGATTCGAGCTGGGTAATCAAATTAGGATCGCCAGCGTAGGGCGCGTTTCGTCGAGTGACCGTCGTCCGAGACCACCGTGGCTTCTTTCCCCCGGAAACAGCCCGATCGGGCCTGAGACGAGGCGAGACCGAATTCTCGCGAGTTCTCGCTCTCGACGCGCGCGACGTCCGTCGAGCCTCTCGCGGTCGATTTTCTCGCTGTTTTTCACCGTTTTCCCACGCTTATCTTTACTTCTCATCTACTACGTTTCTTTCCTTTTCTCTCTTTATTTCCTCTCCACGGGGAAAATGCGGGAGCTCGAGGAAGAGAGAAAACGCCGGCAGTAAAAGCTGATTTTACGATCTCTCATCTCGGGCAGATGCCGATTTGAGCGTCGCCGCCGCGCCGCGCCGCGCCGCGGTAGCATATCGAACGAGTCGCGATAACGCATCCTCGACACGTTTCATCGTCCTCGTTGTGAGCGGACAAAAGGTGGACCAGCACCTGACGAGCATCCGGCCGCCCGCGCCGTCGTGCATCTCGCTCGTTTGTCTCCTCGATCTCCTTGCGTTTTTATTAGAAGCCTCGTGGAGACAATTGAAGCTCGACGGCGGGATTTCTGGATGTTCATCGACAAGAGAAGGGAAGGAAAGGCGGAGGGGAGGGGGAGACGGAGGAGCGAAGTGCGGGCGAAGCGAGAAGACACTCGGAAACTCGTTGCTCCTGTTTGAGTTTGTAAACTCGTACTTGGGATTTAATAGGTTCGTTCGCGCGCGATTCGTATATTAATGACTACTTTGATAGTATTAATTGTGACACGTTTATCGAAAATTGGATTTATAGTAATATGGATTATTTCCCCTGGTGATATGGGCGCGCGCGTGTGTGTGCTTGTGTGTGTGTGTGTGTGTGTGTGTGTGTAAATTAATCGGTCCGATCGATCCCCATCGCTTTGTGGTTCTACAAACATTTAGAACGTTCATTAATTCGCCGGATGGTATACGCCGGATAGATTTAGCGGCCGTTTTAAAATTTATTAGCCGACGGTATGTCTAATTAATTTTAGTCCATTGATTTATCGGCGATCCCGCGATTGCCATATTTGTTATAAATATTCCGCGCGGTATGCTGCCTCATATGGACGTAACGACACGCTCCATCCATTTTAATATAACTGGAGCTGCGAGGTTAACAGTTGCATCTTTCTCGTTTCGTCAAATAAAGGAGCTCGTGAAGAAAGCACCTGGCGCGAAAGTCAATCGTTTTATATATCGTGATTCCGCTTTTACGGTTCTATCAGGGGAAACATAGAGAGAGAGAGAGAGAGAGAGAGAGAGAGAGAGAGAGAGAGAGAGAGAGGGAGAAGTGGAAAGGAAGAAGGATATCCGCGATGAAGTAATCACCCGTAAAAAGTCGTACATCTCGCGAAATGCTGTTATTCCCAAGTGGGGAATAATAATCGTTATCGTAACGCGAGAATCGTGTGCGCAACAACGTTACAGCGTAATGACCGTTCGTAATACAGATTGTTTTCCGATGTGTCCGATTTTTCCCCTGATTTGTTTCGCCGTTCCGACTTAATTATTCGCGGATCGATTTATTCTCGAATTTCCCCCGTTTACCGCAAAACTGTCTGCTACAAACTCCACCTGCTTCTGTATTCCGTCACATGTTCGCCTCGATAATGTTGACGCGGTTAGTCGGATTAATCTCCGCGAACCTTTGCGCGAGGCAGCTTCTATCACGTTGCGCCCGAAGTCGTTGCATTTCCTCCCGTGCGTACGCATCGTCCGCCTCGCACGCGTCGAGTTAGTACCGAATTAAACTCTAATCTCGCTTCCCTTTTAGCTAACCCTTCGCTCTCTTCGCTCTTCACTCTGTCTCCTCCTTCCTCCTCTCCCCCCTCTCTCCCCCCTCTCTCTCTCTCTCCCCTTCCCTCCCTCTTTCTTTCTCTCTCTCTTCTTCTGCCTCTCTCTCTCTCTCTCTCTCGCTCCCTCTCTCGCTCCCTCCCTCTCTCTCTCTCTCTCGCGCGCGCGCGCGCGCTCCCTGTCTCTCTGCCTCGCTCCGGTCTCTCCTCGTGTCGGTGTCGAGCGCGGAGCTGTACGAGAGCCGCGATCGATTATCGCGTGAGAAGCGACCTTACACATCGCGATAGAGGCTTTAGCGAGCCGCGACGAAAGGTTTCGACGGTAACACCGGTGTCTCCGGTTCGCCGGCTTGAGTTTATCGTTCCTCGAGCGAATTAAATCGCAGCGAATACGCTTTCACCGTGACTTCCGTCCTCTCTCTCTCTCTCTCTCTCTCTCTCTCCCCTCCACTCTGTCTTTCTCTGTCTCTCTCCTGTTGCTCTTACCACTCGGTTTCGGCAAACGTTCGCCGATACTGGTCGGGACAATTTGAATTTGCGGCTCATCGAGAATGCGTGTGACACCTGTCGATTGACTCGATACCGCGTTGAGAGAGTTAGCCGGAGACTCGTTGATTATGATTAATTCGCTTATTACCGATAATTGGCTCGATAGTGGCGTTTCTTTCGTAGATGCGTTTAGCCGATCCACGCATATCGCGCAGAGTCCCGCGATATGATTGGTTCCTTTTTTACACGAAATTATAAACGCGCGCGTTAGGTGGAGAATCCGATATTTTCAGCGAGTCCGATACAAGAATGCTCTTCGAAGGTATTTTGGAAACGGTTATAAAAAATAAAAGCTCGCGCAGTTAGTCATTATCGGATTATTGGTGAATGTGGAGGAAAGCAGCGGCGGATATTGAAGTTTAAATATTTCAACGCGGCTGATTCGATGCGCATTACTTTTATGCTGCCGTATATATTATATTAACATAACGTCCATGATAATTGAAGCATTGTGTGCTCTGTGACGGACAAAAGACAGAGCTTGACGTGTATTTTTAAGTAATATCGAATGGTCAGATGGATTTTCTTGCGCGCTTTACGACTGATACTGTATGAGATTGATCGGCAAAGAAAAGTAACACCAGCTTTAATTAAGAACTACTCATTAAAAAAATAAAGATTCTTGATATAATTCTTCGAGTCGTTTCGCAACTTGTCTAGCTTCTTCTTGATTTTATCCACTTAATTTTAATTCGCTATTAATTACTTCGTTTAATTACTTTAATTTACTATTAATTAATTAATTTAATTTACTCCGTTCCACTTAATTTTACTTTATTTTAATTTGATCTACTTAACACGCAATAAGTAAATGACAACGAGTTCAGCGCCCGAAATTTCGCCGCGAACAGAGACACAGTTCGCGCACACCTAATGCTCTTTGCTTGTAATAAAAAAAAAAGCAAAACAAATAAATAAAAGGGAAAAAAGGAACTAGTCGATCGTAAAATTGCGCCGGCCGAGTTATCGGGATCACAACACGTGTGTTCTTCTTCGCGGGCCACTTTAGCGCGACCATTCGTCCGCGAATGACGGTAATCGTGGGAAAGCGGCGGGGAAAATTGTCAGCGGCTAGTTGCCGATCGATCGCGATTCGACCGACCTTGGCTGGTCCCGCGAGCGCGCGGCGATACATTTTCGCGTGGAAAAATAGCAGGTGCGCGAGTTATTACGATCTCCATATAAAGCGGCCGCGCGACGAGTCATTCTGCATCTCGCCATTCTGAATATATGATAACTCGGCCGCGGTTGTTACGTGCATTCGCGTTTGTATGGACGGCGCGAGTCGTTAATGTCAGCAAGAACACGACGATCCTTTAAATTCGGCTCGCTCGGGCCGTCCCGCCCGTATATAACGCGCGGATAATAAAATCGATGACAGTCCTAATCTTCTATCTCTTTCGCTCCCCCCCCCCTATCTCTCTCTCTCTCTCTCTCTCTCTCTCTCGTCCGATAATCCGCGCGATTACTAAACAAGGCGCTGTATCGGTCGGTGTTCTCGTCCGAATAATTGGACCCATTGGAATGAATTAATTCGCCGCGAAGCTCTCTCTTATGTTCTCTCCTCTCGGCAAGATTAAAATGTCCGCACTCGCGCGCGAGCGCGTGTGCTCGATCGATCAACGGTAAAAGGGCGCGGTACATATACGTATCACAATTAATTGTCAGTTACGATCGCGCAGCCGCTATTCGAAATGTGATTTCGACTCGTTATACGCTGTAGCCGGGCGCCCCTCGCGCGCGCGCCCCCCCCCCCTCCCCTCCCTCCGCCGCGGAGTTTGTTCCGCGTGTATTTGCTGTGAGCTCATGAATTTACACGTTCATTTGCATGTTGTATTACACGCGCGTGATCGTGCGGAATCATTAATACGCGTTTTAGTAATACCGTAATATCAATATTTTACCGGCAATTTAGAATTATATCCGGCCGGTCCGGCCAATTTCGGAGCCGGCGCGGCGCGGCGCGGCGGATGTCCGCGCGCGAGTTGGCGCAGCGTCTACATTCTGTCGTTTTCTTCGTTCCAGCTGGCCCCTCCGCCGCGACGTCCCATGAAGTCCACGTGCCAAGCTGCCAGGAGCTGCAAAGATCGATCGTCGATCGCCGTCGTCCTCGCCGTCGCTGCTGACTCGACGCGAGCTCGCCGTCGCACGGTCCGCTCGACCTCTAGATGAATCACGATCTAGCCGAATCGAGGCCGAACCGAACGCGAATCACACTGATCGAACCATGTACAAGATACTGCGCCGCGGCTCCGGCCGCGTGTTCGTCCTCTGCATCGTGCTCCTGTCGCTCTTGCTGTGCCTGTACTACGTCAGTCAGGTACAGGCGCCGTCGACCGGCCATCCCGCCGCGGCCATCCTGAACGAGGAGCTCAGATACGACCGCAGTCTGACCTCCGTCACTCCGGATTACAGCGAGTCGCCGGACGCTCAGGTGTCCCTCGCCACCTGTCCCATCATCGTGCCGCGAAACGCGGATATCGACGCCCAGCAGGAGTTCAGCAAGTTCGACTTTCAGGTAAGTCCTTTGCTTTGTTCGCGGAAAGCGCCCGTGCTCCGCGCTTTTCCGCATCTTTTTCCGCGCCCCCCCCCCCCTCTCTCTTTCTTTCTGCTTTCTTTCTCCTTTCTTTCTCGAGGATCTGTTTCGCGGAGTATTTTTTCTCGCTATGTCTTACGTGTACGACCGCTCGTCACTCGATCCGTGCTTTCCTTCTCCTGCGCGATTCGAGTAGACACGGTTTTCGATTTTTCACCTGTAGAACAGTTGCCTCGGAAGCTCCTCGTGTAAATAAACTACTACGTACTTGTGGAACGCTCGTCTCTCGATATTCTACGTCTCTCACGTAATTCGCAACGTAAAAGTTAGCGAGAACGAAATCTCGGTTTCTCGCATTAACCTTGACAATTCTGTGGAAGTTGAAAGATCGCACAATAGAGAGCCACGAGGTAAGAAACGCTAACTACTCTACATTAGCGTTTCTTAATGCTACAAGTGATTATTATTAGCAACCTGTCTGGGTCCCTGGGGCTCAAAGAGGAATTTAAGAATTTCGTGATATTCGATTATTATTCATTGTTTTACTGAATTCGATCTCGTTATTTTATATTTGCGCTACGTTACGTGAGTATTAATCGTAATTAAGAATTTAGTTTTATAAGAACTTAGGGCAAGAAGATTTAATGCTTACGGAATATTCACAGGTGATTTAATGGGATATTAAATCACTCTTTAAATAAGTGTCTTTTCAAGTCTGAATATAGAATGAGCAAGTGACTATTTGCGGCATCAAAGTAGAACAACAGTCTATATATCTCAAGATTCTCCATTGATCCTTGGAAGGTATTTGTAGGATTATTTTGTAAAATCAAACTTTCGATTCAGGATATTCTCGGCGAATCGGAAAACGAGTATAGCTCGACGCGTGCTTTCAGCGTATCAAGTACAGAAATTAGTCGGAACATTTCGCGAACCTGCGAAAAAAAGAGAAAAAAGAAAACGAAAGAGAGAGAGAGAGAGAGAGAGAGAGAGAGAGAAACCGTCTAAATCTACTTCCGCTGAAAAGCGAGATTTTAGTGAGGCTGAACGTACAAATAGCAACTCGTCCAGGAAAATCCTTCGAATTCATTCGCAAGTTCCTCTCTCGCAGATCGGTCGGTACGACCGCGCTTCGCGTAGTTGATAAAAACCCGCGACGACGACGATGCTGACGATCGAGAGAACTGTTTAACCCGCGGGTTTTTTATTTCCGAAATGGGACGAGCCGCGTCTCTCGCCGAAAGGAGGAGAGATCGCGAAAGAGCGCGATTTACGGGGCCAACAGGAAATACCGAAATGCTAATGAATCGGCTATCAGACGTCCGTGCGACTTTTTCCTTTATCCTCGAGATTATCTTTGGTGCACCCCAGGCACGGGTATTTATGTTCGCGAAAGTTTCCGCGGGATATACGAGCGGCTAAATTTTATACCAATACCTCATGGACGGCGCGCCAAGTCCGGTCGTTTTAAAAGTACCGCGTCATTAGCCGCGGAACTTTCTCCGTCCCCGCGAGAGCCCGCGAACTTCACTGATTTAATGGCCGACCATTGTGATAAAAGGATCTTTACATTCACACGCGACGCGATAAAAAAGTCACGCGCCGTCGCCACGTATACTCTGCCATCGGCAGAAATTTTGACAGAATAACCGAGCCGGCGAAATACGGCAAGCTCCCTTTTCTACAAGCTACAAATAAAAAAGAAAGTAAAATGAATCGATGCATAGATGCATAGAGATGCGAATATACCCGCTTCCCCCTCGCCCCCCTCCCCTCCTCTCTCTCCTTTCAGCTGTCAATTTACCGCTGACGCCGTGTGTTTCGATAGACGTTGATTAATCACGAGTTATCGGATTAACGTTATTAGTTTCGAGTAGCTTTAATATTCTCTTAGTCATCGCTTTTGATAAGCGCCGCGTTTGCCATCGCCTCAAGCCGCCCCTGGCGCGGCTGATAAGCGGAAGCGGAGTCTACAATTCAAATCTTCTCATGTTCGCCTAATTACAGAGGAACCGGCCGCCATTCTCCGGTGCTTAGCTGCTCGCGGTAGTAATTTCCGACATTGTATACTTGCGGCGGTTTATAATCGGGATGCAAAGGAGCATTGATTTCGGTACTTAACGAGCCCGACTGCGTTACGGAATATCGTTCAAAGACGTCTAACTTCGTACCACGGCGATAATGATGCTTGTACGCATCATCCATTAGATCCGTATATTTGTCTGCGAATATTCGCGTAATCGGCGGAACTAGCGAGACGAAAAAGCGAGCTGGTCGGCCAAGGTGGACTCGGAATATCCGGCGCAAGCAAACGATCTCAAGTCGCAGCGTTTGAATCGCCGTGTAAAAGTCGTCCCTCGGGTCGAGTCTGCCCGATCAGGAAAAGAACGGAGATCAAGAAAATATAACACTATATACATATATATATATATATATATAATGAATTCCTCCGGAAATGAGCGAAATCGAATTCCCCAATTTCGTGCGCGTTCCCTTCTCTTCCTCCTTCCTTTTTGCGATGCTTTCACTTTCGCCGAAGCTCGGTCGATAATAAATATCATTACGGACAGATCCCAGCGGCTCCCAGCGGGACGGGGATTGTAGCATTTGAACTTGTTACGCGGCTCAACGTGGCGTAGACGAAAAAAATACGACGCCGCATCAGCCATTCCCTCTCTCCCTCTCTCATTCGGCGCATTTAATTCAATTAACCGAGCTCGCGCGTCAACGAATTCGTCGGCGCGTCGCACGACGAGGAAAAAGTGCCGAATCGAAGTATCTCGAGCTTCATGCGTTCGTCCGCGATCTCATTCATCGATTATTTATGGCCTCGCGTGATGGCCGTGCGCGTTCTCTCTCTCTCTCTCTCTCTCTCTCTCTCTCTCTCTCTCTCTCTCTTCCTGTCCCCCTCTTCCCGTCTCTCTGCCGAAATTTCTATCGACATGCACGCGCGCCCGGGTAATTTGGCGAGCCGCGAGAATCGAGTTTTGTCGCGAGTTTACACGAGGACGGTCTCTCCGCGGCGCAACTTGTCACGGCCGTTTCTGATAATGCGGCCGAACTTTTGCCTAACGATAATAAAGCGCCGCTTTTTTCGCACATGTGGCTGTGCCTTTTTTTTCTGCTTTTTGCGCCCGAGCGTTTTACGACCGTCGCTGCGTCGTTTGCCGCCGACTCTCTCCTCCCCCCCTCCCCTGCCCCCGCTTCGTATCGCTGCGGCGTGTTTTAATTTTTCAACCGGCCAAACTGCGTGGCAAGTTTTTTTTGCGCTCACCTCCGGGACGTTCGTTATTCCCCCTCCCTTCCTCGCCGCACGAAAAGGTTGAAATCACAACTCGCTGTCGCAAATTTCTGTCCTTTTATACCACCACTGCTCTCGCCCTCCGGTATTTGCTCCGGTATCCGCGACTGCGGCGGCGGCGGCGGCGGCGGAAATGCAACGGTATGAATTTCTTCTTTACAGACTCGACACGCGCCTCAGATGTGTGGATCGCAAAATTCGCGATATTAATTGCACGGGCGGAATCGCGCCTCCGTTCTCGCGGCGGAAAGTCGGTCGGAAGGTTTTTGTGCGAAAAACGCGGCGTCCAGCGGCGCGGCGGCGGGATTCGCAAAAATCGCACTCCGCCGATGCGACGAGGAGACTAATCGAACATAAATTAATACGTCGCACGGTAATCTACTTGAACCAACGATCCCGATACGTCAGTTACACACGACGAAAGGCAAATCGAGTTACGTCGCAATGAGCGCGGCGGTGGCGGCGACGGCTAACAGCGTTTACGAATTTGAGTCGCAAATCAAATTTGCCGTTATCACACTCGCGCTGAAAATCGCGTTCCCTACACGGTGGTATATGCGGTCTCCACGTCTGTCCTATCATCGTCCGCCTATCATCGGTCCGTCCACTCTAATGACCACTCGTCTAATCTAACGTCTCCGCCGTCGGATTAGGCGGAGACCAATTGCATTTAATTGTCACCCAAGGCCGCTCGTTAATGCGCTTTAATTCCACGCCGCCGATCGCGTAGCGTGGCGGCCGCTCTATCGGCGGGCTGCGGAATTTCGATAATGTCTGTTGCTCGCCGCGCGCGCATCCCGGAACGAAGGAGTTACTTAGGACGGTGAAAACTTCCTGCGAGGCTTCCCGCCGCGAACTCCGACGTAAAGTTGCGCCCATCCGTTCGAGCGTTTATTACGCAGGTAGAATGAAGTTTTCCTTCCCGGCGGATAGCAGCTAATAAATGCGTTATGTATTGAACTTTCGATGCACACAGGGCCCGCCGTCGCCGCCGATGCGGATGAGGCGGAATAAATACGCGGGTAATATCGGGAGCGTGCGTGCGCGCGAGCGAGTTAGCCGAGAAGTCGGAGGCAAAGCCCAAAGCGCGGATATCGCGCGCGTGATGTAATAACAAGGAGAACTAATTAAAGTTAATGTAGTGTGCCGATTTCAGCGCGCATGTAATTTAATCGCGTATCTTTTGCTTCTAAATATATGTATCATTTAATAATCTACATTAATGATTGCACTCCGCGTGTGTAAATATAGTTACAATTTGTGCTCCAGAGAGAGAGAGAGAGAGAGAGAGAGAGAGTGAGTGAGTGAGTGAGTGAGAGAGAGAGACAGAGAGAGAGAGAGAGAGAGAGAGAGAGAAAAGAAGAATGAGAAAGAGAGAATGGGAGGGAGAGAGATGCAAATATTTTTTTAGCTCCGGATATTTTTCCGCGATTCGATTACCGGCTTGGGCATTTTTAATGAGATTCCGCCATGGCTTGCGATGAAAATATCATTAGAACATAAATATATATACACATATACACACATATTCGACGAATCAATTGGTTTCCATTTCGAAAATGGTTCGCTGGCGCCATAATCAGGAGTATAACGTAATCTCGCGGGAGCGGCGTAGTTTGCAGTGAGTGAGTTGCATATTGATGATCGCATTGACGGCCGGAGCACTCAAAGAGCAAAGGGT